TTGTACATGACCCTTGTTAACGAGAGCAACACTTGACACTTTTCTTTGCCTTGAACGTCGAATAAGAGCCCGGAGCACACCTCAGGCTCATCACAAAGCTTAAGCGCAGACGACGATGTTTCTGAACTACATGAATTCACTTCATTCGGGGGCGCACTGCATGGAGTCGCCCACGCCCACCGCCCATGCCTACGACCCCTCCGCGTGTAACACCGTCCCGTCACACGAGTGCACCCACGAAAGCTGCCTTGCCAGATCTGACCCGGATGCATTTCTGTTCGGTACCCACCAATGACACGCCGCTCAATACACTTCGGTGCACAGTCAATGACACGCTTGCGGCCTAGAGTCTGACCACTGATCGAGATTCGTCTCACATACTCGTCTGCGACATGCTGCACGACTTTATCTTTATCGAAGCTTGTGCACCCCTCCGGAAACTCGCACAAAGGGATGCGAGATTTGTGAACGGGAGGTGCGGTTGACATGTCACCACCTCATCCCTTGATCCACAAATGCCAAGCAAGGTGCTCAAGACGAAAATGCACCCAGAATCTCCGTCGCATGGCCATGTAGGTTTGTTCGTTGAATTCCTACCGTACCACGACGGTCTAGTCTCACTTTGTAGACCGTGCCATAGTGCTGTGCATCATATAACCAGTAATGACGAACTTGCTGGCACAAGCCATACCCGGGAGAAAGACTGGGAGCAAGACTGGGAGCATGAATTATATAGCATAAAATTCGCAAGTCACGAACTCACAAGAGGATTAATAACACTGCAGATACTCATTGTCAAAACTACCATCCGCTCCTATCGACTCTTCAGTTACTTGCAAGTCTGTGATGTCTGTAATTTTGGCGGGCAGTCCCCTGCACCATGTGTGCAAGTTCGACGTATTCACGTCATCCTCGTAGGACTAGGGTGAGACAAGGGGAAACGGTGAAAACGAGATGACTCGCCAAGGCCTCTAATTCCGTATATCCTAACGCGAGTCCGGACTCCGCACGCGCCTCGAAGACGCGTCCCTGATTATGGGACAACAATTCAACCGAAATTGACACTGTTTTCAACAACTTGAAGGACCAAGGATATGTACAGTCGAAGGTCTCCGGAAACGACAGTCTTCCGATTTGCTGCACATGCTCCATGTATATCTGGTGACCTGGTCGAATAGAACTAAGAAGACACTCCAGGTTCAAAGTCCTTCAGGAGAAGTAAAATCAACAATGAGTATACAAATTTATAGGACAATCTCGGAGCTGAGACAATAATACTTACTTGCGTAAACTTGGCAGATGCTTAGATATCTATCGCTCTCCAGCCTGAGGGTTTTTCGGGCGAGTGCCTCGGTGATATGATGCCCCGTGGGCTCCGAGGTGCATTTTTGAGGATGATGTGATTTTGAGGCCCCGGAGCCGTGTCGACGACCCATGACATCGTAGTCTTGGTTGGGTTTTGGTTGCCAGTGAGTATGTCTGAGGATTGCGAGCTTTCGACGTCCAAGACGATCAAACCGTACTTTTTTTTTGAAAGAAAAGGGTGATTATTGTATGAAGCAGCAGGTGTGGAAACAATCGGCCTACAGGCTAGGAGTACTTGTGTTGCTGAAAATGAAAAACGCAGTTGAAATACAAAAACATTCGGATACGGGGAATCGAACCCCGAGCTACCGCGAACCTTGAAATATGAGAGGCGGTAATGTTAACCATTACACCATATCCGATTGAATGACATGACCCTGGTCAACCTATCAGTCCTGTATGCAAGTGCCTTCCAATTGATATTAGTAAAAGGCTCGCTCGCCAATTCGTGAATCGTGATGTTCCCTACTCGCATGTGGACGACAACAGCACCTATCCTGCGGGCGTCGCGTAGTGCTCGGTGCCTGCCAGTCCTTGCTAGAAATTATCCACGAGTTCGACTACCGACATTCAACCTTCGTTCAGTTCCCCTCCGCCAACTCTCGACATCATCTCCCCGACATGCTCAGTATACACGCTTTTCGTCCGAAAATCAACGCCACCCGTCAGGAGATGTGATAGATAATCGCATGAAGATTGTTATTGCAATTGCTGCACTCGGAGGAACATATTATGTCGTGCAGTACGTGTTCAGCACATTACTTGTGATGTTATGTCTCACTTTACCCCTCAAGTTTAGAACAAGTCCCTGAAACAGGTAGGTGGCGATTTATGGATATAAGTCCCAAGTACGAGACCAATGTGAGAGCAAGCTTAGCCTGAAGGAACAAACTCTCATTTTTGGCCCCTTGCAGCTTGCACAGGCGGCGTATAACGAGCTCTTGGCTGAATTCCGAGGCAAGATACTACCTTCCGATCATCCTGTCACACGACACGTCCAACGAGTTGTCAATCGTATTCTTGAATCATCGGACCTTGGCCACTTGAGTTCTAGTGAGCCTAGCCGGTCACTAGTGGGGGCACCAGATGACTTCTGGAGCGAAGACCCGTTCACCACCGGAAGACCTGGGGAGTCGTCTACCCCCGAAAGCGGAGGTAAAGAATGGAATCTGCTTGTTGTGAATGATCCATCCATTGTAAACGCCATGGCCACCTTCGGTTCGCTCTCGAACTGCCTCTGCAAGTGAACCTTCACATATATGTGGTCACAGGAAATATCGTGGTGTTCACCGGAATTTTACCTATATGCAAGGATGAACAGGGTTTAGCTGGTGTTCTTGGACATGGTATGCAATTCTGCAAAGGATAGTCTGCGCAACTCAAATAATTCGGCAGAGATCGCCCACGTGGGTATGTTGGCATGATACAACACGCATGCAAATTCTAACCTCCCTTTACCAGTTGCTCGACATGCTTCCGAACGCTATTCGTCCTCTAAAGTATTCCTGGCGTTAGCGGTTCTTCTGCAAACTGTCTTCGGGTTCGATTTTGGAATCACCAACCTCATAAGCACGTTGCTACTGGAGCTACCCAATTCGCGGACTCAAGAATACGAGGGTATGTTTCTTTCAGCTATAAACATGGAGATGCTGACATCAGGGATGTAGCCGATACTATCGGCATGCAGCTCACTGCAAAGGCATGTTTTGACCCCCAGGCTGCTGTGGAGTGAGTGATTTGGGTTTTCCCTTGTCTGACTTATGTGCGCGACATTACAGAATGCATGCGCGACTCGCACAATATGAAAAGGCTCATGGAGCAACAAGTTTGGAATTCTTGCGAACGCACCCTGGTGCGGAGAGGAGAATCAAAGTCAGTGTAATGTTTCTACTTTGAGCTTCATGGTTTTATCTTTCACTTTCCTTCAGCATCTCGAGGAACTAATACCAGAGGCATACTCCATACAAGCTAGCAGCCCTCAATGTGCAGGTACCCAGGACTCTCTGAACCGCTTCAGGGAGTTTGCTCTTAGATGATCGTAGATTATCCACCAGAGTTGAGATTTTTTGTGAATACATTCGGGTTCCCTCGCTGCTTATATTTTATTTGTGCGATTTGGAGTACAAATTGATCAATGTTGCAATTAGGAAATAAATGGCATCATTGAATATTGAAGTAGGAGCTTCGCACTTCGTCGTTTTCCTGATGCATGACAGATTTACATTGACAACTAGGTCCCCTTGCTATGTAGGTGAGGTCATAAGTATTTCATTCTGTCTCCGTCTTCATTTAGCGGGTCCATGGACTAGCCAAACAAAGACACATAACGCGGTGGTTAATTGGATTTAAAATCTTCATAGCAACTGACACCACTTGAACAATCCGCCTCTTCTCTGAATTCACAACTCAACAATGGCCGTCTTCGTTCAGCGCCCAGCACCAGCCTTCACAGCTACCGCAGTCGTAGAGGGTGAATTCAAGGAGGTCTCCCTGTCCGAATACTTGGGTCAATGGTACGCGTCTTATGCGCCAGACATTCGTGAGAGGAGCGGCTAACATTAGCTTATTGCAAGGGTGATTCTTTTCTTCTACCCAATGTGAGGATAATCAAGTTTTCCTCAAGCATCTTGTTTCTCACTATTATTTTCGTCACGCTAACAGGGATTTCACGTTCGTTTGTCCGACTGAGATCTTGGCTTTCAACGATGCGCTTCCTCAATTCAAAGCGCTGAATGCCTCCGTTCTCGGTTAGTTCGGGACTATTTTTGTGGTCTATTAAACGCGTTCTAATCGGTTTTTAGGCGTTTCCACGGATTCTCAGTATTCCCACTTTGCGTGGGCGCAGCAACCGAGGAAGCAGGGTGGCATTGGACCCGACCTCAAGCTACCTTTGGTTGCGGACAGGAACATGACGATATCCAAGGACTATGGTGTCCTCATCGAGGAGGAAGGCATTGCACTGCGTGGTTTGTTCATCATTGACCCCAAGGGAACCGTCAGGTGGGTGTTTGTGTGAATCCTGGACTAGTTTGGTAACCGACGCTTTTGAATAGGCAAATCACCGTTAATGATCTGCCCGTTGGTCGATCTGTGGATGAAACCGTCCGTCTTCTCAAGGCCTTCCAATTTGTGGTACGAATTTTTCTTTGCATATCGTAACGTTTCACTGCATCTTTTGTAGGAGGAACATGGGGAGGTCTGCCCTTTGGGCTGGACCGAGGGTGCTAAAACCATCAAGCCGGACCCCAAGGGATCTATGGACTATTTCTCGACAGTGGACGGTGCGGCCAGCAATGGTCATGTGAACGGGAGTGCCAAGAAGCGTCTTCGCACGGATTGATGGAAGAGATTACACGACAACTAGATGCGATCATGGTTGACGCGGTTAGAACACCAAGGTAGACTTTTGATATCTAGCCGTTTAATTTTTACATACATACATCTTGCATATCACCATACATACCTTATGTTACTTATATCCTGACGTGGCAACACTTGACTTTCAAGATTCCAAAGTTTATTGAGCTCGACGAAACGAAGTAAAATGCAGCAATGTATACCAGCAGAGGGCCGGAAGCGCTGGACGAAGCCAGTTCTCCTCTGCTGTATCCTGGGAGAGGGCCAGCGCTCGACCGTCACTCTTTCCTGCGAAACCAGACTCCACACAGTCCAATGTCTGCCTCGGGCGATGGATCCGGAAAACAAAATTGGATGTCACTCAACGTAGAGCAAGCTTTCGTCCATATTTTGGCATGTGTCTTCTCTGTGCCCGAGCTCACAAAGTCGCTCGATAGGACAACACCCACAGGTGAAGTAATCGACATCGAGGAAATGCTAAGCGAGGGCGTTGTGGGAGTAGGGGATGATGGTGCTGACAGTTGCAGGGAGCCAGATAATGGGGGCGTCAACAGTCGTGACTGCCTGGAGCGAAATGGTGTGGTGACCTTGAGCGTGCGCAAACCATTAAAACGCGAGATGACTGCATCAATGATGCCATATAGTATCTTCGAGCAAAGCGTCAAAATCGATGGTTTTTGGATCCAGAAAATATCACTGACCTCGGCGGTGTCGTCTTCCATCCAAAGCACCTCTACCTCCAAAGCCATGAGGCTGCGGCTATCGGCAGCGCCGCTACCTGACAAAATTCCACCGGCAGCACCCAAGAATTTTTCAACTGTTCGTTTGTCCACCTCGTGAGTGAAGACCACATCCAGTTTGGAGACGCCTTGAATTGCACGGAGGAGTGCGGCAGGCCGCAACCCCGTGTACAGCGTGGTGGTGACATCCAAAACAACAGTTTCAAGTGTTTGTCCCAGTAAGGAGCATATTGCCATCGTCAGTCGTGGAGGAGCATGCAGTTGAGAGAGCGATGGTAACATCTCCCGTGCTAGACCAGGTATGAATATGTGTTGATGGAAGGAAGATTCGGGTGAAGGGTTCTCGACGACATTGGGAAAGGCTAGATATTGTAGGGAGGATTGATTCCTGAGGAAATGTAGAATGTCGATGAATTGCTCCTCAGAAATTGTGTCATCAAGGATGACCAGTGTCTTCAACCGGAAAGAAAGAGGAGGCGACTGCGAAAATACCGCAAGAAATGTTCGAAGCGTAAGATATTCCAAGTTTGACATATTATGCAACGCAGTCGTGAGATCAAGAGATGGTATGAGATGGCCCTCAGATGCTGGCCAGAAGTGACATGAGAAAGATTGAACCCTCGTAGTGAGAGACGCATGGGTAGCAAGAATTTTACAAAGCTTTTTAACTTGTGGCTCTGATATTGATTGGAAGTCGAGTATCCGATATAGTGTGTTACGCGAGGCATTGCAGAGCTGAGCCGAAACAAGGGCAATACGCGGTAAATCGAACCTGGGCAAGAAAGACAGAATTGCCTCTAACAGCTCCGTAGGAAGGCTCTGGATCGTGACACCTGTATGTGTTGTGTGTTCTGCAAGCAATCCTGGACGGAATGAATGTGACGGATTATTCAATAAATTGGACAAAGACTTGAGCAATCTTGCCTCACCTCCACTTCCGTTTGACCGCTCTAGATCGATACTTTCACCGTGTAACGGTAAAGACTCCATTAAACTGGCCCTGCGTCCCAGGCCACTGGGTCTCCTGATTTCGTCTGGTGATGCAGTGGAGGAATCACTAGACGGCCGGGGATATGCTGCAGCGGCATCACGAATGAATCCGACTGCTCCGTGGCTGCCCACGGGGCTGGCATTCTTGAACGAAGTTCTTTTTCTAGGGTTGAAGAGGGTGGTGACGCGTTTAAGAACACGATTTGGATATTTCCCCTGGGGAACGGTACTAGTATCTGCTGCAGCGCTTCTTCCTCCAGCTATGTCCAGATCAGAAGACGCCCTTGATGGTTCCGCAGAGCGTCGAGAGAGGAAGTACATGATTGAATATTGAGTCAGTTCGGACTTCAGGAGCTTATTAGACGAAAAATATTCGATCTTTGGTTGATGGCCATATTATAGCTAGAGTAGCAAGGTTATTTTGAAAAACTTTCATCCTGTTCAGAAGCGGGAAAAGTATAAAGTCGTTCTCAGGTGCTGCCGTATACGATATATTGCTCATAAATTATGTATGTACTTATGTTGCGAACGTTCCATGTCGAGATCTTCAACTTATCCTTGAAGCTCAACTCTGAGCCGGCAGTAGCACGCTGTCACGGACCTTGGCAGTGATAACTCCAGTTCGACTCAACGTCCTAGTGCTATTTTCTTTCCATGACGTGCTATTTGCGACGTTTGCCAGGTTGGATCATACATCATCACCAGGATACAACACCTTGGTCTGACTCGGAATTGCACAATTAGTCTTAGAATGTGCGTTCCTTCAATTGATGTGATGGTCAGTTGTCATTGTATCAAACACAATAGGTTTCACGACTGTGAGTCTGTGGCACAGTGTGCGAGTTCTTCTTCCATCATTTACTCAATATTACTTCTGGGACAGATGCATATCAATATCTTTACCAGTACCGTCGTCCAGAAGCTGGATAAAGACCCGGAAACGAATACTTAGGTCAATGTGACAAGTGCTAGTTCATTATGACCTGCAATTGAGACCACATCATAGACGTAATTCTTTGGTTTGCTTCTAGCTCATCCTATCTCTTCCCCTTTGGACATCGTTTGGTTGGTCTGCTTTAAGATCTTGTTCTCTCCCGCGGCTCCCGGTGAGCGTTCTCGAACCCTTACGCCTAAAGCCGCATTTCCCGCAATACTTGAACGTTAGATAACTTAGAGAAGCAACCGCGCCGACTCTATTAACCTTCTCAAAGACGTACGTCGGACTGCTCCAGAGTCTGATATATGCCGGCGAGTACACAATCAAGTCGTCAATTGATCAACGTAATGTATATCAAATCTTCCTGCCAATCTGGGATTGCTAGTGGCTGTATGCTGCGGCAGCCTGCCGGGAGAGCACTTGAACTCGTGGCTAACTTGAAGTCAACTAGAAGGACGTTTTGGTACACTGCAGTGAGCCATACCGCACTAGTTACTCTCACTACATTGCCATTATCCTCCCGCAATCTCAATCTCACACTAGTCGATTTGATCATTTTTGGCTTCAAACTAGGCGGCTATGCATTTGGATGAGCTTACTTCCCAAATGCTAAGGTATACCATAAAGCTATGGAGAATCGAGTCAATTCACCCTGCTTCTAGGTACCTATTGGCACCATATCGCTGGTTACGAACCCTCATTCAAGTTATACTTGAATCGTTAAGGGACTTGGATGGCCAGTCACCGGCACCCGTCACTAAAACCGACCGGGCTCGGGTAGCCTGGATCAATGCAATACAGAAATTCGACGCACTGAATCGGGACATGGATACACTATCAGCCCCCAGGCCTGTTCCAACAAGGCTAATCAACATCTTCACGGGACAAATCGAAACCACCCAGAATGATACCACGAAACGCTATGTCATTGCATCCTACCTTTGGAATCCAGACAGATCTTCTGACACTCCAGAACACTATTCTGGTTTGTACAACGACATACCCTGGGCACCCACATTCGACGATTGGTTCCGTCTGACTTGTCTCATGCATCCAAACATCGTTCAAGCAGTTGATGAAGAGGAAAGGGAGGTGGATCGTTTGCATTGTCCGTCGGAAATACCAGCGGGGATATCGCGGGAATATCTGCGAGAAATATTTCTCCTTGTTGCCAGGGAAGCTTTGTTGATGGGTCTTGAGTATGTCTGGATAGATAGCATTTGCGTCAACCAAGCGGATCCAGAAGATGTCGCACGTGAGATACCCAGGATGAGCGACTACTACAGCAACGCAGCTTGCTGTGTTGCTGTGTCCGAAGCAATACGCCGGCGCTATGCTACTACCAAAGGCCCTCCCCAAGATGACACAGGATCAGAATCCAGAAGCGACCAAGCTTGGCGCAGGATTATAACTTGGATGAAGGGATATCATGCCAAACGGCTCTGGGTCTTTCAGGAGACGTACTTGTCCAGAAAAGTTGTAGTCCGCGCCAGAAACATCCGAGTTGATGCCAACGAATTAGTCAAGACTAGCGACTCGGTTTCGCCCGGCTCTCGTGGCCCCCCCCAGAATGACGAGCGACGAATTCCCTATTTCTCTCCCGATATCAGATTGGCATCGCCCAATGTCACCTGAGTTCTGCTTGCAGTACTGTCGCAAGCGAGACTATACTTGAAGAAAGTTTTATACCGAGAATATGTGCAGCTCTGATAATGAAATTCGTATCCTTGGCAAGGCGCATCGAGTCGTTGGTATTCAAATCGAGCCATTCCACGATACCCATAGCTACAGTATCTCTGATGTTCTGACATCCATAATGTCGAAGCCACGTCTCAATCTTTTTTGAAGACGGTATGACTCATTTGAGAGCAAAGATGACCGAGTTCAACCTACTTCTTATGGTGTAGTTACAGCCCAACCAGTATGTAGTGCCCCAATGGTAAGACACCGTCCCTGTCGAGCAGTTCGCAAGTCGTTTACACCAAGGAGCTACCAAATGAGCAGCACATCCAGCACTCAGGGCTTGTATACGTAGGCTTCATCGGTGCCTTACAGTCCGTAGGCGGTGTAAGCTTGCACGTGTCAACACAGGTCCATTGTACTTGTCGAGAAGAAATTGTCGGCACTGTAGCGGCACTGGCGACATTGGAACCGACAAGAATTGCGAGGAAAACGATTTGAGAGACTTTCATGGTATCTGGTATAACTATGTATCAGCCTGTGATACGATCATGCTTATAGGAAAACCACACACCGATGGAAAATTTGATTGTGCGATGTGCGCGAAGTTACGATGACAAAGTATCAGAAGAGCTGTTATACATTCGTTCAATGAAATGCACATAGTGTTTCGTAAGAGGACTACTCACTGCAACCGGAAGTGCTTGTCTGAGGCCTTTTCAACTTAACCGTGTTCGTTTTATACCTGTTCTCGTCAGTGGTGAGACTATACTCGGAGAAGAAGCTTTATACCGAGAATATGAAATTCGTCTCCTTGGCAAGGCGCATGATATCCAAAAATCTACGAAAGGATGGACCCGGTCTTGGCGTCTCGTGGCTGCCTAGTGGCTTTGGCTGGCAGCCAAGGGATATCTTTGGCGTTACCCCACATGCCGAACTCTTGCCTCATGTTGACCCTCAGGGCATACTGCACATGTCCATGTACAGTCTCGAAGTACAGAAAGTTGGAGAAAGCTTGAGTTTCGCGTCTATTGCGGTGGAGCATGATGATCTTAATATTGAAATCCACCTCATGCTACGATATGCTGAGCTCTTCCGTAAAAGGCCACCTCAGACTGGAATATATATTATCGGGGGGATATTGGAGCCTTCCAATAACGGCCGCGACCCTGCCTTCTTTGGTCCACCTAGCTTGCGACAGCAAATTGCAAATAACAGGCGTTCTTGAATTGGAAAGCGGAAAAGGGACAGGGCGAAGTTGTACTGGCGACCTTTGGGGAACAGAGTGGGTCGTTTGAAGGTGTCCCCAACTGGTGGCTTTTACTAGCAACCGATGATGAAGGAAAGACATGGAGAAGATTCGGAATAGCTATCAGCCACGAAGTTTATACTGACTCGATCTCACGAAAGAGATTTAGTATTCGGTGATATGAAAATACAAACTACTACTGTGTAGATTATATATCCTGTATACATGGAGATTCGGAGTACTTGCTAAGAGAAATAATCTTGAGTCATTTTTTCATGTAGATTCTAGAACCCTGACTCCGGAGAGCCGGAGGACATTGACACTGCTCAATTAGGACAAAGCTTGAAATTACTCCTCATGAGTCTTTTTTATCTTATGTAAGAGAACCCTTCTCGAGCACTCACGCTAGTGACGCTTCAAGCATTGGTGTCAAGTATCTCAGCGGTGCAGGCAGTAATATTGATTCCCCTTTTTTCACGCTCATCATAACTGCAACAGCAATGGTCGGTCGTTTCAACAGCCTGTCAGACGGGCCACGAGCAAGAGTAGGCATGGTCGAACATTTTCAGATGAATTCAAACATCCACATTGCTCAAACAGCATGAAAATATGTCCAAAAGCAGCTGTATTGTGATTGGCGGCTCCGAACTAGTAGGTATCACACCATCAACCATGGTACCAAAGCGAAAGCAGAAACATGACTCACTGTCGCGATTTGCCCCCGGGCTGCCGGCCCAATTTTAAACCGACTACTACTGGCAGACCAAAACTGGGTCTGATCCCGCAGCCTAAGGCGTGCAGGTGAGTCATGTGGTTGAACCCGGGTTGTACAGTGACCTGCTCATACTCACGGAAGCACCGGCACAAATCAAGCCATCGCAGCAATCGTAATACGTTTTGCAACGTTGATTCGCAGTCAAACATGCACTGACAAACATAGATGCTGTCAAAGCAACAACAACGGTAAGGAGGGAGGAACACATCTTCTGTGTGCGGGGATATAATATTCTGAGGGGGTTTTCGGTGATACTCTGAAGATGGTGGAATACTATAAGACAACAGCCAGCTTTATATCATGTATATACTAATGGGCTCGATTCTGATCGTTTGTGGAATTGTCATTGCTGTCAGATCGCAGAAATTTCCCTGCAGGAGCGTGTTTGATTGATTGCGACCACGCTACAGTGTTATCATAACCCAATATCTCACTCATCGCTCCATCATTTAAACCATAGCGGCTCTTTCCGGCCTGTCAGCCACCTCGACGATAGTTTTTATCAGCGATATGAATTGCCCTGTCTCCTTCGTGCTCCCTTATTTTCTCCCTGTTGTCTTCCTCGTTATGGCTTCTGGTTCGTCACTTGTGCCCAATCATGCTACCACCCGCAGTGGGATTACTATCGCTGGGAAGATGCACCGCAAGATGGAGGAGTATGACAGCTGTGCTGGTGAATGGGGCAAGCGGATATCATCATGACGTGTTAGAATTGCTTCCATTCTGCAATTTCATTCCACGGTCGTAATGAAATAAAAGTGCTATCAGGATGAATCCAATGATGGACTCGCGGGAGGAAGAGCTTTGTGTATCCGTGCCTTTATATCGATGAAACAAATTACTTCATCGTCAAAGCACTGATAAATACACAGAATGCGGGTTCAAATTATATGCAGACCCTTTCAAACTGAGCAGCATGACTCGGAGTACAAGACAAGCACACATTGTCTGCATGCTGTGCGGACGACAGTGCATGATCAGCGGGTAATATAAAATTACAAACTACTGTGTAGATCATCGTGTAGAGATTTGGAGTACTTGCTAGAAATAATCAATATCAGGTATTAAGGACCGGGTTGGTTGACAGGCGTTCTGGATAATTTCAGCTTCAAGTTGTTACTTGATGCAACTGGCAATGTTTAGAGCCAGGAAGATAAGCATCGTCCTAGATCCCTGATACATGGCATACAACTGAGCAATCATGATGACTTGCATCATGTTTCAATTGAGTCAATAGCGCCGAGGAATTGCAACTGAGTAACTTGCCACACAACATAGCAGCTAAGACCACATCTGTCCTATTTATTGCGTAGTACATAATACCGCCTTAAACACCCAATTATTGATCACCATGGTAGCAGGATCAAACACTCCGACTCATACCTATTGAGTCATTATGTCGAGCCAAGTTCAATGGTCAGAATCACATCCACCCCTACAAATGAATGCAGTCATTGGATAGGAAGCAAATGATTGCAGAATACTCACTGCATCTGTTAGCGAGACCAGTCGAATATACTCTGTGTGCTGCTGGTCAGACGAATCGAACACAGCGCACACTAATGAGACATACGCAGAACATGAACACTAATTGTCAAAGATGAGCTATTAGTGCAGTATCAATCTGTTGGCCTCGACACATACACAGAATATGGTATTCCAACATAACGGATCTAAAACATTTTGGAGTCAGTACAACTTGCTGGCCACGCTATAGCACAACATGAAGTACGAACAATCAGATACAGCACAGTTACGAGAGACCAGCGTCGCCTCTGTCACGAATTCATTGTAATCTTCTATTTTCTCATCATATGGGACTTACCCAGATCAATTCGATCTATGACACTGTTCTTAGCGAGTTGGCTGCTCCAGGGATAACATCGACTTACCTCTTGTCCAAGTGTTAGTACTAGGAATATAGTGAAAATATAAGCGGTTTTAGAACACCATCAGGTTTATCCTGCTCACCCCAATCGTACACCACCATGACACTGGACAGCAGCGGCAATTGTGATACCGCAAGTCAATGTTAGATCGAGACATCACCAACTGATACGACGAACCCGTCGAATAGCTTAAAAAAGATCAAGCTGATGAACGACCACCAACTGGGATCATATGAGACTGAGGTCTGACCTTAGTCTCAAATGATCCCATATTCGAGGGATGGCTGCGAGCGACTCAGCGAGTAGTGGGGAATGTTAATGATGCGTGATGGTAGCGTTCGTGCGAGATATATACCACTGTTCAGCGCTTCTATCACCAATCATGATGGAGATAGATATCGATCAGTAGACTACTTACATAAATTCCATCAGTGAAGTTTCAGTTGTTGGTGATGTTGGTAACTGATTTCCAACGCGATTTTCGAGGTCGAGCTCGGAGCGGCCGTTTCCGTAATCGTCCGAGATCGATCTAACCAAGTGGAGGTCGTCCGTCACAGTGAGTGAAACATTCCAAACTGTTTAGCAGAAGAAGTTTGATGCACCGATGTGTTACGAATGGTCCAGTGATGCAGCTTGTTGATTGGTGGAGATCGTGTCGCAGTGCACCAATTGATGTAAGTCATCAGCCATCCGAGCTCAATCCGAGCTTCACACTTAGTACTCCACAAATGCGTAGAATCATCTGCCTGCGCATTTGCACCGATTCTCCTTGTATTTCAATATCGGGTACCCAAGACTGGGGGTACCAGGACCGACGCTAGTGTAGGGAACGGAAAGAAATTGGTTTCGTGGCAATTGGCAAAATGGCAGAAGTCGGCAATATGCATTGTGAGCGCTTTTCAAGCTATTTCCAACTATGTTTCTACTACGGCAAAAATAGGTTTGACCACTACAGGCCCTCTGATGCAGTCAAAAGTGCATCAATATTTCATCCTGATGCAAGTATCCCGAGCCTCGATTCTCGATTGAGTACATTAATCTCTTCAGCGAAGCTAACTGGCACAGTACCTCTGTCTAACTCACTCCAGTCGATGATACCGCCGTCTAGAAAATCCGGTACATCATCTGGAATTAAACCACTACCTGCCCCGTCATTTTCTCGCGGTTCAAGTTAGCCAGCTCCCCGTGTCTCGCGCTCGAATCTTTCAAGCTCTTTCATCAATTTCTCATCAGGAATTGATTTCGCATTCGCGAGATAGTCCTGCTCATCAGAGTCTGACACCAGGGGAGGAATCACTTTCAGGTAAATTCAAACATCCACATTGTTCGAGCGACTCGAAAAGTACGAAAATTTGACCAAAAACAATGGTACTAATTGGCTTCGAACTAGGTATTGCACCATCAACCATGATACCAAAGCAGAAGCAGAAACATGACTCACTGTTGCGATATGCTGCACTGGCTGCCAGCTCAATGTTCAAATGGCCCCGACATACAGGTCATAACTCGCTGCTAAGGTGCGCAGGTGAGACATGTGGTTGAATCCTGGTTACACAGCGAGCCGCTTATACTCACGCCATTATCGTGACAAATCAACTTAATTATGTTACTGCAGCAATCTTTATCTGTCGTGCAAGTTTCTGTCTCAGTTTGACATGCACTGACGGACATAGATACTGTCAAAGCAGCAACAACAACGAGGAGGGAGAACCGCATTTTCTGTGCGAGGTGATATGGAATTTTCTGAAGGGGATCTCGAATGATATCTCTGAGGACGGGGGAATACTGTAGGACGACCACCAGCTTTTATATCTTGCTTATACTCAGGGACATGATTTGGCAGAAATTTCGGTAGAACCTGCAGAAGCGTGTTCAATTACGAATATCGTATCATAACTGGGATCCTGAGTCATTATATTAGGCCCTGGTATAGTTCATGATATGTGGGTTCTTTCGCATGAACCATTGATTTGAACCGTATTCAAATCCGCACCGTCGCAGCGCTTCACTCATTGCAATCTGGAAATCCAAATTGCCTCACTTATGTCATTTACGTCCTGCTAGACTGTTTCATTCTGTGACTTGGCATCCGCTGCCTCATTTCTACCGGCCGTGCCTATTTGCGTGCTGGCGCTACTACGAGCCCCCTCAAATACACAAGGCGGGCCAGCTGAAAAAGAGTAAATATTAAGACTAGGAGGTGAGCGTTAACCTCAAGACCTTGCCTTCTGGGTTGTTGAAATTGTCAGGGCCGGTGATTAGAACCACAGACTTCACTGATGTAGAGTCATTAGTCGGCATGTTGGTAGGTAAGCTAATATAATGGCGTTTTTTCAAAAGAAGCATCCATTAGGTATATCAAGAATACCAATATGTAGAGTAGAGAAATCTTTGGGGTTATCTATCCCGCAACTTCTTCAACACTCGTTCATGCAATGCCCTTGCCACACCGCTCACAAAAGAGCTATCACAGACTACCCCGGCGTCGATGTAGGCCACCTTTGCGTGTTCGTCTTTTATACGTACAGATTTAATGGCGTCAGTAACAAGGGTCTTGAACTCTGGAATTGGTAGCAAACTAAGAAGCTCGGAAGACGGTGATGATGTTGAGGAGGAGCTTGAGCCGAAAAGAGAGTATGACGCATCTAGGATAGCAATCCGTTGTCCCGTCATTAATCGGAAGTCAAGAGCATGTCTAACCACATCATGTTCAGTTACAATTATGAGCATATAGTAAAGAACCGCACCTCAGGTCGCCATATAGCACCCTCCACCAGCCTAAGCCTTTGACATATGTGTCTACCCATGGTTCGGAGGTGTCGGTCTTGACCGCTATACGTGGCCGACCTCTACCACGTCCTGGAGACTGCTTAGAGTCACGGGAGCTCGCTCTCATGTGTTCAAGTTCCACTGCTATAGGAAGGGTATTTCGAAGGAGTTCAACAAGGCGATCAAGTGAGGATGCCAATGGGCCGTGGCGAAGAACATGGCGGAGATATGGCTCAGCTTCTTCATGGGGATTGGTCCGTAGTTGGTGGTTCGGGAAGTGAAGTTGAGGGGGAGCGAGAGAGGAAGGTTGTAAAAGGGTCGGCGAAGGTGCACAACGTGAAAAGCGTAGCTCGAAGGATCCACCTGTAGGCGATAGCTGGTCCGTACAAGTAATTAAGACCGTATAATCCTGCAGAAGTGGGGTGAGAGATTACTAGACAAATGGTCGTCAAAGCTCACTGAAGCATACGCAAACTCCACAGTTTGCAAGTCAAATGACAATAGTCTCACGTCTGGCCATTTCTTCCCTTTTGCCATTCGTGCCACTACATTGTGTAAGCATCAATAATACACCGACAACTTCAAGGACAGCGCACCTTCACGGGCAATGACAACCATCTTAGAAACGCGGGCCCACTCTTCTAGAAACTCGTCCACACAGGTGTCAACCTCTTCGGATAAAAAGGAGACCACAGCCTCAACCGCATCATAGATGATTCTTTTCGATGGACGAATGATATTTTTACTGCTAGACCCTGCCGCGGCACGCTTCCCGACTGGTTGTTGTACGTACTTCAATTTCACGCAGGTTACCACCTGTGCCTTCTTGTCTGACCACCAGTTCAATGGTATGACGCGGATGTTGGGCATGGCCGCCTCGGCTGCTGGTGCACCTGATAGAATGTCTGAGGACTGAACACAAAGTGCCGGTACAGAACGGGCAAGAGATGATTGAATGTGACCAAGCTCGGATATCTGTGGGAGGGTGATCGTAGGGTTGACATGGGTGTAGGGGATACCGCGGAGCTTAAACTGGCGCTCGACTCGGGTGTATGCAACGCGTGCGCTGGAAGAACAATTGAGAATTATTTAGATGACGAATGAATGAAGTTTCATACCAACAATATGCATATAGCTCCCGGAGTACTTGCGTCTCCAAGTTGAAACTACGCTTATATGTTAGCAACACAAACTGGGGAACTGAAAGATATCTCACCTATCTTCGCTTCTTGATAATTCTGGAGGGACATCATCTCGTCTTCTCTTTTGCAAAACCAGTGGCTCGTGCGACATAGATGAGATCACAACCTCATCCATGCCGGCGCCAGCACCCCTATCACCTCGTATTCGTCTCACATCAAGCCAGCCGATATCCTCCATAATCATGTTTCCAAACATCGTGTCCGAGAGCATTTTTGTCGATATGAGCGCGTACCTGAACTCTTCATCTGTGAGGACAAGTACGAGGTAGTGCGTGGGGAAGTTGGCAAGCTGGATATACATCATGCCGCGCGCTGCAGGTCCAAGCTTTTGAATCTCTAAGACGGAAGTGAGACGGAGTATGACTATGAATTGACAGTACCAAACCTTCTTTTGAGAAGTTTCGGTGCCGGAACACTTGGAAGCCAAGGTAGTTAGCTTTTTGTTCCACGATATCTGTAATTGTCTGCCAATACAATACAGTGAGGATTATGGTGCAAAAGTAAGCTGGCGCACGTTAAATCTTAGTCTGATTAGCACATCGAAAAGCATATTGGGTGCTTCGTTGAGTTTGTCAGAGAGGGCAGAAAATCGTGGTCCTCGGCCAGGTGCTGCAAGGTCGCCCGTATCTCGGATACTCAACCGGCCTGTCCTAGTGTCGATGGACACAATCGCGACTTCGTCGGCACAGAGATGCACGCGCAGAGAATGATAACCCCCTTGTGTGACATTAGCGCAAGATCAGAATCCTGATGGTTTTGTACCCACTTTCAAAAACTAGGACTACTTTGCCTGCAGGAGAGAATACTCGAACGGGACCCCTTTGAAGTTGGGCTTGGTAGAATCTCAGGATTGCTTGTGTGTGCACCTCGATCACTTTTCTCAACATCGACTCAAAGTCAATATTGTCAGACTCCTATCGAAATGCATATGTGAGCAACCTCATCGCGCAGGAAATCGTTGACATACAACCACAAGCTCTTTAACCGCAGCTATCGTTTCCTCAGCGTCGATATTGGCGGCCAACACGCCCTTCATCGGTTCCCATTTTGCGTCAAACTGCAAGTTTTCAACATCATCAGAAGGGCGCATGTCACCTAATTTTGACTTTTGCTGAAGCTCTGCAAGCATCCGCGCTATAGGCGATCGCACGCTTTTTTTGTCGACCTTTTCGACAATAGAAATGGTAAGGGTACCACCATGCGATGGTAATTTGAGACGATTGGGGGCCAACACGGGGACCCCGGGTTGCGGCGGTCGCCTGGATACACATGAGCAACAGGAGCATGGTCTATGAAACTGAGGGCCCTACATCCAATACGATACAGCAAGTGTTCTGCGCCCATCGCGCATCTCAACTTTGAGGAAATCAGCCCAGCCAAGGGAGCGCATCCTCTGAGCCTGTGGGAAAGCCGTCGACCAACAGCGTTGTGATCATGAAGATCTGCTTACTTGGTAGCACAATATTTCAAGTTGATAGGACATGGACATCATTTCTGTGCGTCTTCGTGAGTTCCCATCCAACGGCAAGAAACTCTTTCACTTACGAAGGAAATTAAAGAGCCTCACCAGGGGTGCATCTACCGTTCCTTCCGGAAGCTGCGGTCGCGGTGGATCTTCCGGATTCGGAGCAAATTCAGGTGTATCTGGGAGCGG